ATGGAGTGGGTGTGGGCTTTTAAATGAAGTGTTGCATATAAAATGCTTAGGTGAGAATCACGATACATGTTAGCTATTTTTATTACACCTACTAGGAACTCAAGAAATACTGGTTGAATACACGATGAATGTATTATTTCTTGTTTATATAAAATCCAGCCAAATGTGAAAGACTTCAAGGCTGCAAATTTACCATATTTGCCTATTAGGGCTTTCTTATGGGCTATATTTATGGTTTAGGGCAAATACTAAGTTAAGATGCATAAAAGAGTGACAATAAGATGCAATATAGAGTGACAATTCTCTGCTTCACTTTGCTAATAAAAACATGTGAGAAGTAATGATTTTGATAGTGGCTTCAGAAAAGTTGCTGGTTATGTATTTAATGTCTAACAAAAATGATCTTGCCTACAATTAGTCTATGACATGACATGCTTAGCTCTAAGATATAAACATTAAATAAAAAGAATATATTTTGAAGACATTTTTAATTCATCTCAAACAAATTCAGTTTAGGCTACAGTTTTGCCATTGGTTCTTGTATGACTTCTGGGAAGTCTCTTCATTGTCCTATAACTAAGTTTTCTCAAGAGCTCAAAGAGGAATATAAACTTCATGGTTTATAGGTTCTTTTCTGGATCAAAACACATGTGAAACTGTTATTTCAGGTGAACAGGACACTTGGTATTAGACATCATTTCTGCTTTGTCACTGAGAAAAAGAATCATATATTGCCTCACAGTAAAAAAATAAATACATAAAGGTTGCATACATTGCTCATGGCATCCTCAAAACAACACTTACATTAGGAATTGTTATTTTATACATGAAGAAATTGACACTTGGGCAAGTGAAATGACTTGCTCAAAGTAGTTTTACTATTAAAGAGGAAAACCAGAGTCCAAAGCTTGACTCTCAACATGTCATTTTTCCTTTTCTATGTGTACCTCTTCCCTGCAGAGAAATGCTTAGTTTAATTTGTAAATGCTAACTTAAGGCATGTAGGACACATTAGCTACATAATTTGAATAGAAATATAATTGCACATTCAGCAAACATTTACTTATACCTTCTGACAAAATTTTACTTCATATTAGAGAAATTCATTATATAAGTAACAGCACAGAGGATAAATACTATGTGAAAGATATTTATCTTTTGCTTTAGTGCAAAAAAGTGTTTATTTTAAAATTACAGAATACATAATATTTGAACCTAAAATCAGTCCAAAATCTGACTTCTTGAGATTTTTCATTTTTTTTTTTTAACGATAGGAATAGGAACACTGTATCTTATCATTCTTTTTTGAAGCTGGCTTTTGTTTACTTTTTGATTTTTAATCAAGGGCACCCTCATCAGAGATACAAGCAATTGTGAATTTTATTCTATGGCTGCAATTTTTTTTCCCCACAGGAAACATTAAATAATATTACTGGGGAAGAATAGAATGAATTAACCTTAGCTACTAATAAGAGACTACCTTTTGAAGATACTAAGTCATTACAAGCAAACAGTAAATCTATTTTTTTTCCAACTATAGGACAGGTTTTCACATATAGGTTGTA